TTGTTTTAAACTTTATGTTCTGCAGAATTTGGAGATGTGATATACAATACTATTAGCAGTTATAATCATATTTAAAGCGTGCAAAAAAAAAAAAGCTATATCATTTACAGATCAGCTGCAAAAGGTATAACTTCGGAAGAATATAACTGTGGGAAAATCGCCCAAAAGGAATCGGGGATATTTAGCTTCACAAGTTAGCTTCAATATCACAACAAAAAAAGAACAGTTATAATAAGGGACATGGTCTAGGAACGTAAATCCACAATGTTACATGCCAACCTACCATTCACCATCCAAAGCTAATAGTGGCCATGTTAATAACCTCGTAATTTCAATTACATAATCAAAATAATTATTATACATGGGAGCTCTTATCCATTTACAATCACCTTCTAACAGAAAAGTATAAATAAGTATAAATATTATTATTATTATTAAATAAGTATAAATATTACAAATATATGACAGAAATATACTCCACTAACTGTATAGTTCGGTGTGGTGTAATATGACTTCTTATCTCTACCCATTTCTATATAAAGTAGCAAAGTTTAGAGATTGTGAAAACTGGATTATGATTATTATTAATTCAGAAATCTTTAATAGGCAGACATTCAATGTCAGTTAACATTGCAAAATAAAATATATATTTATTAAAATTAACAGCACCTTAAGAATAACACCAAATAAGCTTCAGTTCAGATTTTGTCGAAGTAATAGTAAATCTCAATTTTAGAAAAATTGTATATATCTTTAGGATTATTATAACTATAGTAACTTGATTTTTTTTATTTTTAGATGCTCTTAAAGTTGTTTCAAAAGTATGATTTTCCTTTTTGTTTGTTTGAAGTTAAGCACAAAGCTACACTATGCCCACCACGGGTATGATTTTCAATTTACACTTGGATAAGTTAATCAGTTTTAATTATAATTACTTAATTTAAGCTATTAATTACCAAATTTTTCAATATAATTATAAGTTTTAAAAATTAATTTTAGTAATAAAGTAATGAATATTTTAAAGAAAAAGGTCTCAATATCGCTTTTAGTTTTAGTTAAGAATCCTAAATTTAGAATCTCTTTTGGAATAATTGAACCAGTGCTTCTCATTTCACTCTTTCTAGTTATCAGCCACTATAAATTTATGATCTTTTGTTTACTTCAAAATATTCGTGCAAAGCTAGTCGTCCCAAATATTGAACTGATAGACTAGAGGGAAGTCAGTGACTCAATAGCACCCATTACCTACTCCTGAGCTACTCTAATAGTAAGGCTTGACCGTCATTCTTATAACTAGCCCACGGTCCGAAGAGCTGAGCGCGTTTCTGCAGCAACAGGACACGAACTAGAGACTCCCAGATTAACAGTGAAGCATACGAACCACTGGGTCATGCTTAGCCTCATACGTTCACGAAACAAATCACTCAAACTGTAATTAGGATAATTATAAACATAGCTATCTATTTCGTCAAGTTTATCCCCCGTGTGACAACGATAAAGTACAGACGCACAACGCTAAACTTTAGGGTTCGATTCCTTTGTTAGACCCAGCAGATAGCCCAATGTGGCCTTGCTCTAAGAAAACAAAACAAATTGTCAAATTTAAGATTATCAATATTTATTTTAATATATTCAAAAATTACAAACGGGTTATAAAGATTCTACCATAAAAATATTTTTACAACACTTTGATTAATTAGAGAACGTATTTGTTTGTAAGCAAAATGCGCTATCTGTTTGTAGTGTTATAAGCCTTCTGATTTACCGTTGAGCCACTGGGGGACTATAAAAAGTGAAAAAAAATAAATAACTTTATGTTTGAAATAGTTAACCAAATATAATTTTTCTTTAAAAAGACTGTTTCAATCTTTAAAGGCAGAAAATGTCTTGAGGGTTACTTTAAGTTTCAATAAATCAAGAAGATCTTTAATACATATGTTTCTAAAATTTAAAATATATTTAAAATATATTAAGTATATTTTAGAAATATTAAGCATATAAAATGAAACAGGAAAATAATAATTATAATTAGTACAAAGATATATGAAACTTATCTATTTATCTTAGTTTTACATTTACCTATTTTGATAAAACTTTCAAACCAATAGATCCTATTCGAAAGAAACTATTTGGTAAAGTTAATTTTACTTAATTTCAGCAGAGTTATTTTGAAAATCCAGATTTAATTCATAACGTAAATTTTCACGCTCAGTAAAGAAAACCAAAATCTACAACTCTTTCACAAAAAAACATCTTACTTTCAGAAAAGGGATCCGAATTACTATGGTATATTTCAAATGAATAAGTATAATATTTTTTATTTGGAGACGATATAAATTAATCCTTTAAATGAAAAATATTACAAGTTTGATTAAATTTGTATGAAAGACCACAGATACTCCAGGCTGATAAATAAATTACTGTATCCAATTTACAACTTGGTATGTTATGATATACAAATTGATAATCAATTGCTATCGGGCAATTTAAAAACGGATAATTTTCCCAAGCGCATTTTATGTTCATATTTAAATTTCCCAGATGTAATTTAATGAAGATAATGTTTAGCAAATAGTGTTATCAAAGTCAGACAATAAAAGAAAATTAGAGAAAGCATCATATTAAAATTAAATCATAGAAATATAAAACGTAAAAATTCTATAAACACACAAGCATTAAACGCTAGTAGGTAAATTAGCGACACCACAAAGTAATTTCGGAAATAATTTCTATAATCAATTATATTCATATATAAAAACTATACTAAAGTCTCTTGCTGTTATTTTTAATAAAATCTTCAGTGTCAAGAGTATTAAAAGTGACATTATTAAAAGATTCGGTGTTAAAAATAACAATAATTCAGGTTTATAATTTTACATACTTCCAAAGAATCTAGATAGCCCGCTTTTACGTCTAGCTTAATTTCACTATTATATATAAACATAGGTGGATGTAGAGTTGTTATTTTCCATACTATCAAATTAAATGGGTAGGATAGCAGAGTTCTGTTATAATATTGTAATATTTATATTTTATTCTTGCTGATGATTTGGAGCATTATCTGGTGTATGTTCATAAAGTTTAACAAGAAAAAGTTCTGTAATCTGTTTTATTTTGGGCTTTATAGTTGAACTATGGGTTAATATCATGACCACAACCAGCCTCGGTTATTAAATAGCAGCTCGGCTTGAGGCATTTATAGGTTTATAGCGTATGCAACCAGACCTTATCTCTTACTATCATTGATCTGCTTCTAACATGCGCATAGTTTTCTTATATAGAGAGAGTCCTGACATAGCAATATGATTTTCTTTAAAAGTTGTTGAAAATAGCCATTTTACTCACAATGTCTTATACTTAGGCCATAAATACAACATGTCATGAGACAGCAGACCAATGAAAGATGTTAAGACTGCGGTCAGAATGAGAGGCAGATAGCGAGGGATCTCGGACTTGCAAAAGTGACTTGCATAACATTAATGGTCAGTGTGACTGTGTATAAAATTATTGGCCAGTTTTGTAAGGCAAGTCTTAGAGCTGATTACCATAGCTCTGAAATACTGCCAACGGTCACGGAACTAAAACAAATTGACCTTTATTCGCCAGGTGACGTCCGATCCTTCCAAAGTCTTGCAGACGTCATCAGTAGTGCCAACAGGATTCATTGGCCAGATCAACATCTTCTGCCTAAACTGGCTGCAACATTTTTGTGACTCGGCATAAAATCCTGCTTACAGAAGCCAATATAAAACGCCAACTTATGGTGTTTTCAAGATTTGTGCTATTCTCTGTCGAGTCTTAATTATACCAGTTTAGCCAAATGGACACACACACAAGTGGAGAAAGGCTGGTTAAGGATTTCAGCACGCCTGCTTGAATTCTTGCATGTGACATGGTGGCTAATGGAATTGGCAGCGATTTGGGTTACCGGAAAACCCAACCTAATTTTCATCTTGTGCCACAAATCCAGTGAGGAGTTTTACATTTCGCAACACAGTTGCTGAAGGAAGATAGTGCCAGTTATCACACCTTCCGAGCTGCCACCTTACAGGGGGTTCGGGTTCTACCTTGGTCACCACGAATCCCCGACAGCGCTTCTTGGAGTACCATAATCATGAACTGCGTAAAACAAGACCTAGTCCCACAAATGTGAGCTGCAAATAAATCTGGGTCTACAATACACGCTACAACTGTTTTCATACTATCCATTTTATTATGGCAAGTATATACTCTTAATTTTAGTTCATCAACTCTAAATTCCAATTTATCATTTATATCGTGAAATATTGTATTATTTAATAACAATAACGATATTCATAATTTTAATGGTTTCATTGGTCCCTCAGAACGTTTCAACAGATTCCTTTACCTTATGACTTATCGGGTTTAATAAAATACGTTTAATACCCTTTCTATGTACCACCATTCTAATAAATATTACATTTTTGATATGTATACAAACATATTTAAGACAGATAAATACCAAACTCTCGGTGGTTAATTTTGGTTCTAATAATAGATCATTCATGGAAAATATTCACTGACGTTAGGAAAACATTGATAATTTACTGATTCAATCATATAAATTTTACAGCTCTCGAAGAAGTTAAAAATCGATTTTCTTATATTAGCTCATATTTAACCAGAAAATTCTTTGTATGGATAATTTCATTCAGGGAAAAAACAAATAATGTTCATCATCATTTTATAAACTGTCTTTACTTTTGATGAGACATTTAGATGTAATAATTAATTTGGAATTAGTTTAATCTTTCAGTATCACTAGTTCCGTCTTGAACCAAACGCCTTGAACGACACAAATATTGTTTTCAAGAGCGCCACCAGCTCACGGAAGCAAGTAGATAATGTACGGGTAATCCAAGCTGTAACACGAACGACGACCACCAGGGGAAATAAACCAATAATCTGACGAAGGCGTGTTGTCTTTTGCCGTCACTATAGAGAACACAACTTTCTAATTGTAGAGGAATGGACAGAGCATCGCTCATCAGAAGATAAGCCTTGTAGTTAATATCGACTAAGCCTTTCTCCGCCCTAGCAGTGATACACAAGATAACCATTATTCATTAGCAAGTGATATAATTATGTGTTAAAACCTCACTCTACTACCTCGTACAGTTCAAAAAGCTACTCTGGCACGTAACATAGTACGTGTGTCGTGCCATGGCAACAGTACGACAAAAACATAGCTGTATGTTAACTTTTCAGTGCAACTTTGAATGAAACAGGTACAATCGACAACTAATAGAATTAACTTACTAATGTCAGTAAGCATCTAGGTTCGATCTACCGAATTTATCCTAACCTTCGGGATCTTATCTTTTAATATTCCTTCTCCGTAGTTAACAGGAAAGAGCATGGCCTGTAAGTATTCATATTCTATTGTATATTTCGAAAATGTACTTTTTCTAGTATTATACTGCATAGGACTTAACTATTTTATCATTTTAAGATACCCAGAATAAAATAGAGAAAAAAATATTGCGTTTTTGCAAGGAGTGAAACTGATCGATTCTAGCTCGTATAGAAACTTGCAATAAAGTCATGCCGTAGAATAATTGTGTACGAAAGATCGCGGAAAAATCTTTTCAAATCTTATTTCCCAACATTGTGAGAGGGGATGGGAAGAAAGGGAGAAGGGTCATTATACAAATGAATTTTAAAGAGCTGTTGTTGGTAATTCTGATGAATAAGCTATATAGTTTAATGCAAAGCAGATGGTGCAGTAACTTTTTCTACTAATTTTGAGAAAGATGAAAGAACGTGAAACTGATAACATGATAAGCAACAAATAAGATGCCCTGGTTTCGTATTTAACAAGCATTGTTGTCTATAACACCTTCGTTTTTTGTTTCCACCAAACAGTTCTGCTTATCAAAGAACAGCAAATATCCTGTTAAAATATATTTAGTCTTATCTCTAAAATTTTCGAAAAGAAAACGAAATTCTGAGAGAAAATTATTTGTTTGTTTGTTTTTTAATTATGCACAAAGCTACACAAGCGCTATCTGTGTTCTGCCCACCGCGGGTATCGAAACCCGATTTCTAGCGTTGTAAGTCCGCAGACATACCGCTGTGCCACTGGGGGGCATGTTAGAGAAAATTATCATAATATCAGTACACGTGTAGTACGTCTAGTAATTCTATTATTAATGTGAGTTTTCCAAAGTAGAAAATGAAAAAAATATTTTCATTTACAGAACTAAAATATTGGAGCATAAACTACAAAATAGTTTTGCAGTTTTTTTCGTAGTTCGGGTTTTCTCAGTAGAACAAATTGTTTAAGGCGTTTAATGTTCTCATACTTCGTTTCATACATTCTGGAAAAACTAGTCATCCCTAATTTTGAACTTATAGACTAGAGATAAGGCGGTTATACAACAGCATCCACTGCCAAGCCTTAAGTTAAAGGCATCAAATAGTGGAATTTGACCATCACTCTTATAATGCCCCCCCCCCCCCAGTGGCACACCGAGCGTTTGCCGACTTACAACGCTAAAAACCGGGTTTCGATACCAGTGATGGGCAGAGCACGGATAACCCATTGTGTAGCTTTGCGCTTAATTCCAAACAAAACAAACAAACAAACAAACTTATAATGTCCCTCCCCCCAGTGGCACAGTGGTATGTCTGCCGACTTACAACACTAAAAACCGAGTTTCGATACCTGTGGTGGGCAAAGCACAAATAGCCTATTGTATTGCTTTGTGCTTAACTTCAAACAAACAAACACTCTGATAATGCATCCATTTTTCAAAAGTGCTGAGCGTGATTTTGTGACAACTCTGCGCGAACCATGGATTCTCTCCCCGTCCCGCCAAACATGCTCGCCCTTTCAGCCGTGGGGGCGTTATAAGTGCGGTCAATTCCACTATTCTTTGGTAAAAGAGAAGCCCAAGAATTGGCGGTGTGTGGTGATGACTAGCTGCCTTCTCTCTGATCTTACACTGCTAAATTGGGACGGCTAGCGCAGATAGCCCTCGTGTAGCTTTGCGCGAAATTCAAAACAAACAAACCATGGATCCTCAAATCCATAATCCTGCACAATAACTATAAGGTCAGTCCAGCTCATGTTTTACCAGAACTTAATAAGTGCATGACCTCCACAGAATCATTTTATAAGTATTAAAATCACTTGTATCATCAAGGAACAGGTTCTATACTCAATATTTATTGTGTGATGAAAAACTTTGTATGGTATTATCTATAAGGTATTAATTACTGTTGATTATACAAAACTGTAAAATGTTAATCATTGGGCTACAACTGTGCTTTTTTAACCACTGAGTAATACGCCGACTCCTTATCTGTAAATCCCAAATTCAGAACATAAGATATCACAGAGCATAATTATTGTACTTAACCGACACACCTCAAAAACAGCAATAAATTTTAATGTCGAAGTTGTGTTTCCACTAGACTAGACTACGGAGATATCGAAAAAAAAACATGTTGAATGTCACGGAGATATCGAAAAACATACATGTTGAATGCCGGCCAGTTATCATTACTGAAAACCTGTAGGTTATTATTATTTTCAGATTTTAATGCAGTTTATCTTTCATAATAGTTGTATATGCTACAATAGGAGATGTTATGTATCCAAACCCTATTTTTTATTTCATTATCAGATATTGAGTAAATATATAGCTTTTATTATATTCCTGTAAACATATTCATTTCAATCTATCAATGAAACTAAATAAATCATAAAAAACAGCTGTTTGAGTATTTAATAAGTGACTTATAATTCGTTATTTGATTTAAAGTATTAAAACTATAATTCAATAAAAACAAGTATAAGAATGTTGGCGTTACTTGATTACTAAGAATGCACTAACACACAATACTAATACACTAATGTTACACTATATGTCGGTTCGAGCACTTATTCACAGAATTAAATGATCAAACTCGATTCTATAGTTTAATCGCTCGACAATATTCTCATAAAAATTGTTCCTCTTCCTCCCCCAAAAGCTCGAATGTGTGTATTATTATTCCAGGGTATCCCCTTGAATCTTCTGCTGTTATAAGAATTCACAGATTTAATAAAATAACAAATTTGGAGAATAACCATTCCACTCACTGTGAAACAAGCCACAAGGTTTATGGCATGGTTGTTAAATATTTAAAAAAAAGGAAATTCTGTCACACATAAATAGAAAAACGTATTGCAAAGTTAACCTTCATGTACGTGTTTACGTGGTTAGTTGTCACAAGGCCCTCAAAAGAGAGTTTCGTTGTCATGGTAACGGGTGGCTGTTGTTTTCTTGGTACATCCGTAGAGTAGTGGCTCAGCTGAGATGTATTTTGTTTTTTTTTTCATCTAGATTATTTGTGTAGCGTGATGAAAAGCCTTCCATAACTACAAAGTAATCCGTAACCTGGAAAATGTTTAAACAACTAGATACGAAGTTGTCTTTATGTGAGTCATTACTTCGTTGTTCAAACTGACAACACGTTTGTTAGAATAATATTCCGCGTACTGGGAAATAGCGTAATGCTATACACAAGTTGTCAACCTACTAACTACAGTGCTAGTTCATTATGGCTTAGATCATAAAATGTTAATGACCTGTCGAGTTTTCACATACTGCATTCAGTGTACTCATGATTTGAGAAAACGTTTTGGGGTAAATTAATTAATACAAAATTAATTATTAGACTGAAAATAGATCTTCAGAGACAGATAAAAAGAATATGTATAGCTCGCGAAATGTCTGACTTTCTTAATGATGGATGGAAGGATGGCAAAATAAACAAATATCTCTTGCTGGGTAGAGGTTTGACAGGCTAAACAGACTGATTGATTCAACGAGAGAAAGAGAAAAAAAACTAAGTGGCTACCCTTCTTATGTCTTGAGAGGCTGTCTGGCTAGCTAGCTTGGTAGCTATCTGACTGGCTGACTAGGTGGCTGTCTGGCTAGCTAGCTTGGTAGCTATCTGATTGGCTGACTCGGTGGCTGTCTGGTTAGTTGGATGGTTACCTGTCTGTCTAGCTGTTTGGATGAGTGACTATGTGGTTGGCTACTTGTTTAGAATATTGTCTGTCTGCCTAGCAAGCTTGGTGGCTATCTGACTGTCTGGTTAGTTGGGTGTTTACTTGTCTGTCTGGCTGATTGGATGAGTGACTATATGGTTTGCTACTTGTTTAGAGTATTGGCTGCTTGCCTAGCTAGCTTGGTGGCTATTGGACTGTCTGGTTAGTTGGGTGTTTACTTGTCTGTCTGGCTGATTGGATGAGTGACTATGTGGTTTGCTACTTGTTTAGAGTATTGGCTGTCTGCCTAGCTAGCTTGGTGGCTATCTGACTGTCTGGCTAGTTGGATGTTTACTTGTTTGTCTGGCTGATTGGATGAGTGACTATGTGGTTTGCTACTTGTTTAGAGCATTGGCTGTCTGCCTAGCTAGCTTGGTGGCTATCTGACTGTCTGGCTAGTTGGGTGTTTACTTGTCTGTCTGGCTGATTGGATGAGTGACTATGTGGTTGGCTACTTGTTTAGAGTATTGGCAGCTTGCCTAGCTGGCTACCTAGATGATTATTCTGACTTGTTACCTAATTGGGTGACTGTATGTCTATCTGGTCAGATGGATGGGTGGACAACTAAACAATACTGAAAGGAAAAGTATTAATTACCAGTTAAGTTGTTTTTATTTACTACAACCACCTATTATATGTTTTATATTTTGAATTAGTTCGCAATGGAAGTCATGTTTATTCGTAATTTCAACCTTACCGTTTAGTCTTTCAATTAAATCTTAATATGTCTTGCTATCTATCAAGTCTGAACTTACTGGTAATTGATTCATTTTAAGCTTACTTACACTGTTGAAGCTGCTGGTGTTGAGGATTTATTTGTACTATAACAGAGTTGGTTATCTATCTAACTATTTGTTTACCAATTTTTCTATGACCTAGCTCCAATACAGAAAATTCTACCCTAGTCATTAGAAATGTCTTTGTGTTCTAAAGTTATGACACGGAAATTTGTTTTAGAATTTCGCCCAAAACCACCAATGGGATATTGGCACATAGCCGACCCTAATTTTGAACTGATAGACTGGAAGTAAGACAGTCAACAGCAACTCGCACACTACCCTTTTTGATCACATAGTGGGATTTGATCGTCACTTTTATAGCGCACCTATGATAAAAATAACCATATTTATAGTCCGGGAATTCTAACCACAAGGCCACGCCCTCTCCTTGACCTTAAGAGCAAAAAATAATATTCATATTGAATTTAATTGAATATATTTTCATTTTATCTGAATTTATGTATTTCTTCGGAACACATTTCTTTTTTTTTAAGTACGTAGCACATACCTACGAATATCCCAACTTTTCTCTAATAAACATTATCTCTGTCTGGTTAGTTGAACTTGTTTCTTTGATGTTTGTCTTTCTCAAAGACAAAGATGCTCCTTATACTAAGTTTTGGTGTTGATTTTAAAAACTACAAAAAAATATGTCTTTTTTTTTGCAATTTATTATTTCTCGGATACTTTGTGAATCAAAAAGTATTTTTTCTGCAAGATGATTTCTAAGCAAGCATCTTTCCGAGAGAATACTGGATAATGATGCTGCTTAAGACTAATTTAGGGCTATACAAGGATCTTGTCCGTTTCTACTGAACCGTCAGTTATTTTGTATTTGTTAAATTTTTCCTCGATCTGTTCAGTCTGACTTGTGAGGTAATGATATAAACGCATTCAGATATCCAGATGCCTCCCTATCTGAAAAAACATGATTTTATACACATGTATGAAAAAAGAGACTATCGCTAATTGAACCTTTTAAGAGAGTTTTAAGCTCAACGGTCTCGTGATTTCATAAACGTTTCTTTTTAATACATTTAGTCCTCTACATATACATTATTTTACCGTCAAGTGATTTAATGTAAGATATAATCAAAATTAGATAGACAGATTGTTAAACAGATAGAAAGTCTGATCGATAGGTGTTTTACGGTAAGTACAAACTGTTCAATATTACTAATTAATTTTCAGTTAAGATGCTTTATCTTTTGACATTTTCTGAAGTCTAATGCATAGATATATATTATTAAAGTAAACACACAGTTGATGTTTACATTACGTATTTAAAAACATAATAATTGTTTATCATTTATGTTCCAAAACGTCTTTGGTTTCCAAATACTATAAACCGCTGAGTTTCAATTTCTTTTTCTTATGTTACGAACTACAACAAATGCACGTCTTATGTGCTTACATTTTTTATATTTGACTACGAAAAGCTTGAAAACATGTTAATATTCTGTTATGAAATGTTTGAGCAGTTCGGCATATCATACCTGACGTCAAACCCACGTGACTTGCAGAATATTAAAACAAAAACGGATACTCTCACCGAGGTGGTGCGCAAGAGAATTCTTCTTTAATAAATGATGTTAAATATTTAACGATTGATAGAGCATAGAAATCAGCTAATATACTCTACAAAATTTATCATAAAAGAATATTCTACAATTACACCAAGCACACGTATACATTAGACGCGCTCTACATTGAAAATGTATTTTTATAATGTCAAATCCATGTGACTGATGTAAACAAAACACTTAAAGCACACTTTAAGGTAAAGCATAAAAAGAAACGATTTTAATGACGTCAAATAGACACAACTTTCGGAGCCTGTAGGTGATTTGATACGTTGTACAAGGAGACGTATAAAAAAAATATTCGTTAATGTCAGGTTACACAAGAAGCGAGATATAAAATAAGGTTATTCCATGTATTTTACAAAATTATAGAGCTCGAATAACCTGAAATTTGTACATGTGGAGTTCGCAAAACATTTACAGATTACTCAAATCTACATGGCTTGGTGGTTAAGGTACTCGATTCGCAATCTGCGGGTCGAGGGTTCGAATCCCTTCACTGAATATCCTCGCCCTTTCAGCCGAGATAGCATCATAATGTGATGGTCAATCCCAGTTTTCATCAGTAAAGAGTAGCGCAAGAGTTGACGGTGGGTGGTGTTGACTCTAGTCTATCACTTCAAAGCTGGAGACACACTAACACAGATAATCCTAGAATAGCTTTGCGCGAAATTCAACAAACAAACTTAAATATGCCGTCGAGCAAATAGAAGAACAAAATATATCTTTTATATGATCTACATATTATTGTAATTTCACAGATTTAAAAAATTCTTACATTCTAAATACTCTTCTATATGCTCACAATAGTGTGGTTGTGATAAATAAAATGTCATAGTATGTAGTGTACAAATGAATCCAGCTCGGTTTTATTCTCGTGATACATTTTATTAGAACACTTACTTTGAGGAATAAAAATCCAGAAATATATTAACCGAAGCTTTTTTTGCTTGTTTGTTTGCAGCAGACAAAGGCCGCTTTGTGTTACCAGAGACTCTACAGAATCTCTCCAAGGTGGAGAACTTTCCTCCTCACAGACACCGTTGGAACACGAACGAAGTGAAGAAATAGATAGATAGATAGATAGATAGACTGATAGAGAGAGAGAAAGTTGAAATACAAACTAAGCTTACGCAGATTTTATTGGAAAGCTTTAAGGTTTGAGCAAATAGTTTGATTGGTTAGAATGGTGCTGGCGTATTAGTGTTATCATACCCTTTCTTTTAACTTGCGTTTGTTCAGTCTTGGACCGTTCGATTCCCATAATCAATGTAAGAAAAAAAACCGATATCATTACTTATCAGTGTCATTTAGCAGGTTTCCCAAAGCTGACGTCACCCCTCCAGCAGCTAGACAGATTAACTTAATTGGGCAAGACTAGTTTAAAACAGTACTGTGTTGAATACGTTGTTTCTGTGCTAGAGCAGTAGTTATTGCCAATGCTGTTGTTGTTTTTGATCGATTTTTAAACAAAGATGCTATATATTATTTTCAGTTATACCAGTTTAGAAATTTGAATAAACACATACACACACATATATATATATATATCTGTGTGTGTCTGTGTGTTTCTATACTTTATCGAAACGTTTTTGTTTTTTCGTTTTATACAATTCCACTTTAATATTTTTAATTTTTGACAACAAAAAATGGTGTTTTTCTATTTATTTTGTTTAAACATCTGTCAATGCTAATGCGTTGTTTCGTAACACTGAGCGAAGCATGGACCTTTTTACGTGGAACTGAAGTAGAGCAACACCCAAGCACAGCCAATAATACTTTATCCTCCTACTGCTTCGACTTTTACGACTTCAAGGGGATAGGAGATTATATATCAAGTGACAAAAGCTCCATAACCTTATATTTGACAACTGTTTATAACTAGAGATTGCTTTTCGATCAATATCACTATATGTACGTATTATTTTAAGCATCATATCCATCTCCGCGCGGTACTGATGTTGTTATGCCAAATCAAAATTATTTTATTTCCAATTATTATTCTCTATTTCATCTGAATTCTATTAATTACTCTCAAAATGCTAAATTGAAATGTTGGTAATAATTGTTTAAATGAAGAAACAACGACAATTCTAATATAATTAGCCACGAATGTAGATCTCTTTGCCTGCAAGGTTTAAACTAAGGTTTAGATGAATCACTTCTTGATTTTTGTGAATTGTCTCCTAATTTTACAATTAGCTCTATTTGAATTTTTTTGAGAGAAAAAAAAGGTACAAAAGTTTATCTGATTTTATAGTTTATGTACTAAATTTAAACTATTTAAACTACTATTTGGACTAAAATAACTTTTATCCTTGAAAACCTAGCCAACATATTACTCGAGTCTATTATTTTTGCATAAAAAGCACATTATATATATAGGAAGGAGTTTTCTAAAGGTACTGCAGGAGATTGCGAGAAATATATGAAATTGCGACTTCAAGTATTGGAACTATTGACCAACTGTTATAGTTAGAACACATGATGAAGGGGTTACTTTTCCTTTGTAAAATAATAATGAAATTCTATTGTATCGTGTAACTCAACAACTGCTTTTACATGTGATGGAGTGGGCAAAGTTTTGATCATATGGGTTCTTCTTTGGTTTTTCACTTAGCCTTAGTCTATGCGCTGTGTGTTTTCAGTGACTACATGATCATGAGCAGATGACACACGAACGTGGAAAGTAGCTTAGGGTTATAACCTTGGAAATTGATTCTCTTCAGGCGTTGTGACTTAAAATGGCACTTCATTACGTATAGCTACCGTTGTTTTTCTACAGCGACTTGTGAAAATCATGAGAAACATAGCTGAAGTCAATTTGAAAGAATTTTATATCTGAAGCACACTGTTTCAACCCCCCCGGAAGTCGTAATAATACCAAGAAACAGAAATGAAAGTTTCAGCTAGTTTGTGCCAAAATTAAAGCTTGGTAATTTTCAATCAGAGACGGTCGATGAGGAGGACACTTAGAACTTAAGTTTCGTACGGTCTCCTAGCGGTGGCTGAGTACTTCTCTGTAGCTTGAAGCGAGTATGAAAAAAACTATTAACCTGATCACTGGAAAAACATCAAGCAAGTTTAGCTGTCACATCAAATATACTTTTATAATGCTACTATTTTATAATACAGATAAAACATATTTTCACCACGCTCTCTCTCTCTCTCTGCATACTATTTAAATATATTGTTTTTCGTTAATATTTCATAATAAAACCATCATTATATTGAGTCTGGAATGTTTCCGTAGTTACAACATTATATATATATATATATCCATTAAACTTTATGATTAACATAATCTTTATTATATTTGGTCATCTCGTTTTCGAAATATCTTTACAGGAAATTGCTGCCATTTTAATCAGTTTTGATAAACACGAATTATGGCTATCCAAAGAAGTAAGGATACGGTAAGTACATCTAACATGCCTTTAGAAAGCTCTAAATTTTTTTCTGTTACAATCTGAGTAGTATTTACTTTTTATTACAATAATAATAATAATGAACATATGATTACTCAAAATTCCAGACTAATCCAAATGGCTCAATAACCTTTTGCTGTATTCTATGGAAAATATTTTATCATAATGATATTAGTTCACGGAAGAGAGAATTGTGCTATTACTCGTTTTCGATCTTTATATGAAACTTTACCTGTTGACCTACATACAAAATCAGTTGTTTTTCATTTATAGTGTTGTTCCACTGGTTTTCTTGAATAGTTTCCGCTTGATAACGTTAATAGTCTAGGATTTGTTTTATTTGTTATTATTATTATATGAAATTGTATAAAATCTACTTGTATAAATCATATTGCTCCTATCAATCGTTTAAAATTTTCGTCATCATTCCTAGGAATATTTCCCTTTTTTTTAAGAATACAATCAAATGCTTGAAGGTCTTGTTGTCATATGTACACAAAGTTGAGAATTATTCAAATTATTTATCAGCTAACATATTTACATATGCAGTAAGTAACAAAATAACAAATTTGGTACAAAATGCCATAATATAACTTTTAACGTTTGCAATTTTAAATGAACAAACGAAGACATAATCGATAACTTCAAATTATAAACAAATACATTTAAAAAAATATTCCCGGTGAAGTAGTTATTGAAGGCAAATGTCAGTGTTGCTACATGATGAGTGAAAATAAGCTTCAGATTCAGGCTCCGCATAAATGTAGCTCAGAATGAACTGAATGATTTATCCACAATATACATATATATACATATAACTTCATAAGAACAATACTTTAAACCCCATCATTGTATGAAAAGAAAAACTTGAGATAGATTAATTCACGTTACATTAGAATTCGGTAAAAAGTTTTGGTGTATCTTTTTAATAATTAAAATAATTAATTGTTAAACAAAATGTTTTGTTTTGTACATTAATGGAAATGAATATCGAACTTTTAATAAAATCTACTGTTTTGCAAGCAAAAGTTTCGTTTTAATTAAGCATAGACGCTTATTTAGGTCTACAGAACCATAATGACAGCATCCAAATCTGTAATTGCATGCATTATTATTTGATGTATAAGCTCTTTTTGCTCTCTTTATGGCAGGAACATGGCCAGTTGGTTAGGGTGCTTGACTCGCAATTTGAGGGTCGTGGGTTCGAATCCCCGTCACGCCAAACATGCTCGCCCTTTCAGCCGTAGGGGCATTATAATGGGACGGTCAATCCCACTATTCGTTGGTAAAAGAGCATCCCAAGAGTTGGCGGTGGGTGGTGATGACTAGCTGCCTTCTCTCTAGTCTTACACTGGTAAATTAGGGACGGCTAGCGCAGATAGCCCTCGTGTAGCTTTGAGCAAAATTCAAAACAAACAATTATGGCAGGAAACTTAGTAAACATATTGTCATAAAAGTTATTGACGAAAGTTTAACTACCCTATAGCAGGTCACACAATTTCACAGGCCAAATTCCCTCAAATATATTCAGATCTGAACTCTAGGCAGGCCAGAGCAGGAGTTCTAGAATTTCAACTGCCTGTTTCCTCTCCTGGTAGATGTTTACTTTGTTGGTCAAATGGTTAAAATAATTAACCTGCTACATTTCTGACCAGTTAGGCAGTCCCAGTGGAATACCATAGTCTCTTGGGATTTATCTGTACTCCTTTGCTGTTAGAGTGACATCAACTTTTGCTATGTCTAAAAACCATTGTAGGAGATGTTACCCCAAAGCTGTATAGATTTACTCCCATGTTTCTCTGTACTTGTTGTATTTTGTAATGGTACTTCCCCATTTCCTGTTTTGAAGATGCTGCTGTTGATTATCATTGAACAATTCAATCTTGAACTCATTGGTAAACAGCATCCTCTGTCAGGCCTGATCATCTCTCTATGTCATTTCCATTACCGGTTTCCACCCTTTCTATTGCTTTCTACAGCAAAGGTTTTCATGTAGCTACATATTCCATGAGGTTAAAATGAACCAAAGATGTTTCTTGCCGTCCTCGGAGTAACCTGTACTTGAACCAGCTTAATGGTCAGATCTCTAATGTAGCGTCTGCTAAATTGAAAGAATATATACTGGGATGCTTGAGATCACTAGTGGAAATTTGAGCTTTCTTCCTTGAGTGGGGTTATTATTAGCAGCGAAAGTTGGCTGAAACTGCAAAATGACTTGCATACAGCACTAATGATAATGCAAGCTGTATTTCAATAACCCTCAATATTCAAAACGGTAGCTGATACACGATTGTCATGAAGTATTTTATTCATAGAAGCAATGTATTCTTCAACCCGCATGCTTCTAAAATGGTATTGATAGCTATGTTTGAATAGTCAGTGATCTGGTGCGACCATTTCTGATTAGTTGTACATCCAACATTCAGAAAATACTATACCATCTTGTTGTTTTACTATCTTGTCAGCAATTGTAAGGGATGGGGGATTGGAGGAGGGGCTGTTTTGTACTGATTTTACTGTGTAGCTTTCATATTTATTTACACTACTGTATATGTCACTGGTTTTATCAAACACACAAAAATGGCACCGTAAGGAAAGTTCGTTTAACAAATAACAACAAGAGGATAGTTTCTTGGCCCAGAATTAATATCAACGCAGAGAAACGTTTTTACAGGGGAAAATAAATCAATCCCGTATTTCTGTATTTTTCCGAACCAAAGTTCTAGATTATCGTATTTCTTGCCAACAAAATTTTGAGGGTTTTATTTTAAAAACTGCTGCATTTCATTTGGTGTTAAAACATCTGAATTTTTTTCTGTAAGTTACATTTTTATTTAAATTGAAAACTATGAAAAACAAAGATATTAATTGTTTGTTTTTTTGAATTTCGCGCAAAGATACACGAGGGCTATCTGCGCTAGCCGTCCCTAATTTAGCAGTGTAAGACTAGAGAGAAGGCAGCTAGTCATCACCACCAACCGCCAACTCTTGGGCTACTCTTTTACCAACGAATAGTGGGATTGACCGTCACGTTATAACGCCCCCACGGCTGAAAGGGCGAACATGTCTGGTGTGACGGGGATTCGAACCCGCGACCCTCAGATTGCGAGTCGAGTACCTTAACCACCTGGCCATGCCGGGCCAAAGATATTAATCTTAACAATATATTGCCCCCCAGTGGTACAGCGGTATGTCAGCGGACTTACAACGCTAGAAACCGGGTTTCGATACCCGTGGTGGGCAGAGCACAGATAGCCCTTGTGTAGCTTTGTGCATTATTAAAAACAAAGAAACAAACAAACTTAACAATATAAATATTCCTTAATTTGGAAATACCTTACCTTCTTTTTTTTTCCTTTTCAAGAGCTAGAATAAAATGTTTTTCATGATGTCAGACTGTAGAATGTTTTGTTACTTCATCAAATACTTTTCGATATTTTCACAAACAAGGAACTAATAAGTTCTACCCAATGATCCACTTTCAGTAAAACAGAGATTCAGAAAATACCATTACACACAACGTCGCTTTAGGGAAGTTTATAACTGATTTTATAAATTGATATTTACATAATTTTCTCTTTATTAATATTTTTCATACTCTTGACATACATTTCTACCTAATTCAATACCATTATTTGCATTTTTACTCTATATTTATTTATTATTATTTTACTTTTTTCTTTTTCTTGAACAATTTTTTAAAATATATGTACATATTTATTTCCTATTCTTCCTTTATTTTTTTTCCAAATCCACCCATTTACTTTCAGCTTTTCAACATATTCATATTTTTTATTTCTTCTTATTCTTACATTCCTTCACAGTTCCATTCATGTGCCGTCGTCTTTTTGTTTTTCTTACATCTTCTATATTTCTGAAATTTTTTACTGTTCCATTTTTATATTCTCTGTGAACGTTTCCATATCTTAATCTGGTCAATAATTTAATGTTTATTCTTATTTCTTCTTCTCTCAAATCTTGCATCTCTCCAATTTCTTCTTTCATCTTTTTATAATTTGGTCAACTGCACTCCGTTTTTCTGGATATTTATTTCTGTCTTTGTCTTTACTATTTTTTCTCTATTTACACACACACATATATATATATATATATTATATATTCATTCTTTAATAATTTTTATTATTTCTGGACTTCAAACACCTTTCAATACTCTTCTCATCTCCACCTCTATTGATTCTTCCTACTATTTAAAATCCTCCTTATTATACCTATGATATATTTTGGGGCATCTTTTTTAATTCAGTCTTATTACTTTTCAAACCCATCTCCAAACACTTTTCATACCTTTCATTTCCATACTGATATTCGTGTATTTCAATGCCACGAATAATACGGTGTATTCTCCATTTCTCTGCATCTTTGCATACTGCTCTTTTTGTGTATTTCTAACTATAAATCCCAAATAATTATATTTGTTTGCCACCTCTTTTTCTTGATTATTCCATTTCTTAGTTTTTTACCCTCATTCCTCCATTTTGAAAAGTCATAAGCTATCTTTTTTTGAAGTTCATTATTGAATTATTTATATCTATACAGAAGATTGAGTAAGTTAGATTAAAATGATTTGCATATGAAAACCAGAAAGTCACGTGACAATCACAGCCGATATAAAGCCGCGGTGGAACTATATGTTACATTGTTTGGCGTTTCATAGACATTGTGATGCCACCGAAAATTGATCGCTTTTGGGAAGGGTTTGTAACAGCCATTTTTGATACAAAATATTCTTATATTCAGACCATAAAGTGTGTTTAGATCGTGGATTCAGAATGTCCAAGGTGGGGATACCTCTTACTTAATGGCATTAGAAAATAAATTTGGGGAACCACGAACATCCACAAAGAGACCTGCAACAAGTGTTATCCCAGCTGTGGTAACTAAAGAGCGTCGTATTCTAACAGAGGTCAGTGGCAAAATAAATCCAAGTGACCAGGGCATCAGTATGCAATATGATCAAGAAAGATTTCTATCTCGGAAAGCAACAAATGTTTTCGAAAACGTATCCGTTTAACTATCGCTTGTCACAAGCAACTGGGTAATGAAACTAGTATTTCAGCTATTCCATACGAAAACATACCGGTGAAGTCAGACTGTTTAAACAAATGTTTTATAAACATCGTCCTCGTACACCAGATAGATTATGAAAAGCACCCTAGAATAGTGATGATTTTCTACATGAAAGCCTTACGACATAGCCTTTTGCGATGGAGACAACACTGCAAGACTATTGTCAAGATGCACTGTCATCAGATAAAGCAAGATTGGACGTGGTAGCATGGACTACATGTAACGACGTGGTTTAGGCTCCAAAATTGTTTTAATATAACGTATTTGGCCTCTTTATATCTCTCTATTTCTAAATTATCTCTTTTAATCTTTCTTTATTATCTGTCACTATAGCTTTTTCCAATTTATTTAAATCTTTTGTCTTTCCACTCCTCTTTTAAATCATTTATATATATTACATATAATATCGTGCTTAAAGGAGTCTTTTGTTTAACTTGTTCTCGCCCCAAAAAACTTTCTGTCTGTCTTTCATCTATCTTTTTCTTTATTTTCTATTTCATATAAATCCTGGTATCATTCTGAACATTCTTCCTTTAATTTAAATCTTTTGTATCTCCCAGAATAGTCTTTTCCATCTGTAGAATCAAATGCTGACTCCAAGTTTACAAAAAATCAAATTATATTTCCTTTTTTTGTGTCTCATTTTCTATTATGTCATCCAAAATAAATATATTATCCCTTGTTGGATATCCTTTCCTTTTTCGTGCTTGATTTGTATAATCTTCTCATTTTCTTTTAGCCATTTCTTCAACCTTTCTATTATTATTATACCTTTTGGGAAGGGATATATACAGAAAATAGAATAATATTTTCCACTCAATGACTGATTAGTTCTCTTACAGTCCTCACAGCGGGACTATGCTCCTCTACAGCAGGAAACGGGTCCGCTATCGCCGGGATGGATACTGCTGGAAGAAACGAAAGGACGGAAAGACCACGAGGGAGGACCACATGAAATTGAAAGTTCAAGGAATGGAGGTGAGTTACTTCAGAACAGTATTACTGATGTGTTTGTTTAAGTTTATGATTCGCATATCAAAATGAAACAAGTGTTCGCTATTGTTCTTTTCTAACGTTGTAACAATGATGTATTCATTGATGTTAAAAACTAATATAAAACTCTACTGTAAATAGCTTCAACTTTTAAGTTTTAAGAGTATCTACAACAACAACATCCAAAACTAGTAGAAAACTCTACTTAAAGTAACTCCTAGTATCGCACTTTCACTGTACCTCCAGAAGTAATGTTTAGTACTAGTAGACAATTCTACAACTTTTAACATTTTCAATGGTAATGCTCAAACTGCTAGAAAACTTTACTTAAAGTTAAAGCACATAAAACAAATACAAAACTTGAAATAAAAGCTAATATAAAACTATATATACTAGCTCAAAATTTACCATTTGTAATTTCAACACACAAAACGAATACAACATTCTGTATAAACTAACACTAAACTTGTCATAAGGCATTAGTATTAGGCTTGTTATGTTTCTAAACACAATATTTTTAACTAGCCAATTAGGAATTTTCAAGAAGTAGAAGATTGTATTCAAATCACACAATATTCATCATATCCACGGCAGATGTCGCGTTTCGCTCTTCTGATTCTTGAAAATTTTTAAGGAACTAGATAAAGAATGTAGTGTTTGCAAATAATAGGCCTAATACTAATGTATTATGGCAAGAATAAGTGTAATCATGTTTCGCCAACTTGTAAAATACATTCACACCATAACAACTGCTGTTGAAACACAAAACTTCTCGCTTCGTTTATTTTTGTGCAAAATAAACTCATCCAAAACTCTCTATAAATTAATATCAAGTTTCACGTTTTCTCTAATATATTTACTTCTATCAGAACCAAAGTAGTCCAAATGCCTTTCAAATTAATGTCATATTTTTCAATGTCAGTTTACTATATTGATTTTAATTAAATTAATACAAAGTTCTATGAAGTTAATTATATATATTTCTCACTTCTAGTGTATCTATGGTTGTTACGTCCATTCTGCTATATTGCCTACCTTTCATCGGAGATGTTACTGGTTACTTGAGGTTAGAAAGCATTTAATTCTTTATTTTCACATCGATTTTGCTGTTTCAGAATATTATCATTAGTAATATGCCAATTATGCTAAAGAGAATTGAATAAAATTGGAATCAAAATCAAATTACCACATTATTCTGCGCAGTTAGATGAAATTTCGAAATGGGGTTTAATTTTTTTATATGAACAATAGGCCAAGTAACATTATGTAACTTTAAAATTATTATTTTTTCATATTTACGTAATATACTCCCTAGTGATGACAATTCTTAGCATACAGAATTCATTTCTTATGTGATCTTGACTAAATATGAACATATCTTGCATGTTCTTGAATCTCTACATCGGGGCTGACGTTAATTCTGGTGGATATTGAACCCTTTCGATCAAAATTAATCAAATTATGGAAAGAGATTTGACAAAAAGTTATTACGTTTTCTAACATGTATTCTGATTTACTGCCAATAATAAAAAACAGCAGTTTTTGATTTTCAAGACGTGTGTGTGGTTCCCCATAATTTGATTTTTCAATAGTTATTGTAACAATGTTTGCACTTACCGTTCAAAGTTGGTTTAAGCAAAAACACAAAGAAATTGTAACCACACTTCTTATTTCCGTTATCATTATATAGAGTTGGACAAAAATGCAATGTTTCACCCAATAGTTCCATTTTCACTAACACTTTATCATATACAAAAATGTGCTTTCATTATGTATTTTCCCCAATAACTAACAACTACGTGATATTATTAGAATAAAAACCAGTTTATTAAAATTTTTATAGCTTAATACATATATATTATCACCCGACTTAGTTAAACGACTCTGTAATTGTTATCAAATTTTAAAAGTGTTATGCGGAGAGGTTCTAACCAGATTAATTTTACAAGTATTGTTAACTTTTTCCCTTTCGAAGTTCTATATAACATATCTTTAAATATCTTATATAAGAGATCAATGATAGCTGTTCTTAGTCTAGGCTATCTGGGTTTATATAGTTAAGCGAATAAGATTTAATGCATATGAAACTTACAGTATAATAAGGTGACCGCTGGGCCCGGCATGGCTAGGGCGCTCGACTCGTATTCTGAGGGTCGCGGGTTCGAATCCCCGTCACACCAAACATGCCAACCTCCGCCTTTGCCTGGATGAGAAAGGAGGAGGGTTGGGCACGGGGATAGCAACTCCACCCCGTAAAACCCAACCTGCTACAAGTAACTGGTGTTGTCGCGGCCCTGTGCTCCACTGGGGGTTTACAGGAATAAAAAAAAATAATAATAAAGGTGACTGCTGACATCATGTTAAATGCCTTCTTTTGAGATTGAGGGAATAATTTACTTGGATGGTGAAATACTAATTAATTTCATCTAAAGAGACGTTGTTGGTAAAAGTGAAATAACAGTATTTACTTTTAACCATTGGCAGTAAAGTAATTTGTATGGAGACATTCAGCTATCACTTATGTCGAACACGAAGGCAAAAAAGAAGCAACGAGTTAATATTTTTTTTGCTTTTTGTGTGTGTATTTGTTGATTATTGTTCACAAAATTACATTTATTGTTGTTTTTCAATGCATTTATAAGAATTGTCCTTACTGGACTGACAACAGCAATAGTAAAGCGAATACACGTATCTTTACAGAATCCTGATATTGTTCTAGTTCATTATTTGAACGTGCCGAGTGCGGATGAATCCAAAGTACTGACGTCAGTCGCTTTAAGCCACTGTGCAGAGAATAAAAAGTGGACTAAAGAGGAACTACTTTCACAACTCAAACCAATGTGTATGTATTGTCACCTGGAAAGTTAAAATTATTTCATATTATATAATTACAAAGATTTATAAGATTAATTAAGCCATGAAATAGAACAACCAGAAGTGTAATGGAATTTTTTTACACATAGAAATGCTAATTTATATTAAATCAAACACGGACAAGTATCTTCAAAATATTTTCCCTTTTAATTTCTTAGATTTTTTAATGCTTATCCCTTAAAATTTTTTGGGGTCAATAATTACATTCATAAATAAATATAACACTAAAATGAAGTCGAATGAATTCAAGATAAGAAGGAGTGGGTTTAATTAACAAAATGCAGAAACAACTTAATATATTACATAATATACTAATTTTAAATTCATGTGAAAAGCATATGAGTATATTCATATAGTGAAACTTGAATTTATATAAAGATACAACAGAGTACAGTAACAATCCCAAATTACATGCCTCTTTAATATTTTATGCACCAATGAATGGAAAGGAAGGGCCACTTGTGGCAGCAAGTTAGTGTTTAAATCTTTTTTTTTCGTCAATCAATTTTTGTGTGGTTTCGGTCTCAAAAGATCGTAGGTTTCGCTTGTATTTTAAAACTGTAAGAGAATGAGTCACAAAAATATTATTCATCTACCAAATGTTCGCCATAATGTTCTTTTCTATTTCAGATTTCTCAGGTGTCTCATGTGTTAACTCTGTCATGTATTAATATGTTTATTTCTGCTACATAAGCAGCTCAACATATTATACACACAATTTCATAGTCAACATTCTATTTATCACAGAAGTCACACAACTCATGTTATTTAATGTTATAGTTTGATTTATTAGATGCAAAGTGATCCTATTAAATTCTCCTTTTTATAATTTTTTCGAGAGTTGGTATCCCTATATTGGCAATCCAAAATGGTAGTCATTTTTAGGTGGCTGTTCAGAGAGTAGGAAATATTTTCAACCTGCCAACCAAGTGTCTTTTTAATATTGTTCTGATAACTTTGCGATGTTTTCTTTCTAAGTGAGATTTTGACTTGTTTTCAGTATGTGAAGTACTGTACATTGTTGGTGAAAAAAAGGCGTTTATATAAACGAATTTGCAATGAACGATTGGTGTTAGTGTTAAGTTAAGGTGTGATCATATATCATTATTTAACAGTTATTATTTGACCAAGTTTGGTTTTAGAGTGAAATGAGTGTGGGATCACACCAGTATTTAACAGCTATTTTTGACCAAGACTAACAGTAAAAATGTGTAAAAAGTATGATCATATCAATGTGCTGCAGTTATTTATAGATTTTACTTAACTTATCTATACTGTATCTCCTTTTTAAAATGATAATTGTTTTATTATAATCGGAATTTTCAACCTGAACGTAGGCTAAACAGCCAAATATAAGAACCCTAAAGTTCAGACATTTTTCTCCCTAATTTTGAACTACAGAACAAAGAGAAGATAGTCAGCTAGCAGCATCCTCCACCACAGAGGTTTTGTCAAGCTTTTTGTACCAAGTAACAAGATTTACTGTCACTTTTATAATGCGCCAACAGCTGAAAATGCAGAGATTTTATCAGCATCACGTCAACCTAGGATTATTTGATTCACAGCCCGATACTCCTGCCTAGAGGAGATATTTTCAATTCTTTCTCGTACAAGCTTAGTTAAATATTCTGTCTTTGATAAAAATACAGCTCAACTGTTAATGTGTATTGCTAAAACCTATTCTAGTATTATTCAAATGTTATTTTTTAAAATGTTTTCTAAGTTTTACTTCAGAACTAAATTGTAGTAGATCATGTGCTAAAATTATTCTAACCACTATAGCATGTGCCATTCCAGGTGGTATCTACCACCTCGTATATCAGCGCCATTGGTGGCCAACAATACTTGCGAGTAAGTCTACTATACAAAATACAACCAAATTCCTTGAATTCTGCTTAAGACTGGTTAAGCTATAAATAGCTTTGTGAACTGTGAGAATGGCTTTGTCTTGTTCGAGACATTAACTTTTCACATGATAGAGAGAGAGAAAGAGACGAGACTGACTTTTGCAATGCTGCGTTTTTCGACTTGTACTTTATTGTATTTGTTGATCGTGTGTTGCTATACTTTGATTTCATTCCAGTTTCCTCTCAAACTTTTTGATGTCCCAAACATTCAGTTATCTTAAGTTTTCATTAACTTAATTTCATAATATTTTGACCTGTTTCACTTTTTCTTTACTTTTATTGCCAATAAGATGTGTTTGCTTTAGTGCAATTGTCACTCTCACCTCATTAATTTTGCTGGACAAAAGTAATATTACACTTAATCTTTTTGATAATTAAGTTCTACACTGTCTTGTTTTTGTGGTAACCAGTTACCTCTGTAGTTTTTATTACTATAAGTCCTACAATACCACAAGTACATATATTCCAAATGTGAAATTTTAAGGGGAAGTTTTACGTGATCATTAGTTAATGGAGTTAGATTAAATCGTGGCTGTTCCCAGATATCAAAGTGTTATCAAGATATCTAAACCAGAATGATGCAGATGACAGCGTTAAGTGTGTTTTTTCATGGAGTGCTTGAAAACTACTGTAACATGCACGGACATTTTGTTTTTCCTGTTTAAAACCTAAATTTTTCTTTACATGGTCTTCCTAATTCTGAGTTATCTGTAATTGGAGACAATCTCTTTTTTGAATGTACATCAAGTACATTTGTATTTCCGAATTATACATGCAAATACAGGTTGTGTTATTTTATAGAATAAGAAATTTGTTTGTTTGTTTGTTTGGAATTATGCACAGAGCTACACAATGGGCTATCTGTGCTCTGCCCACCACGAGAAAATTGAAACTAGCAGACAATACATTGATATTCCAAAATGATTAACGTAAAATATATATTTTTAAAACTAATTCATGTTTTCATGCACATATTCATGTTTTCAGAGCTTTTATTCACACGAACTAAGATGTTAGATACTTAAATTGATAAATGTTGAAAGAAAGTAAGTTTGATATTTTTTGTCTTTCTGTTCATATTGGTGCATTATGTTCGGAATTTAAGTTTTACTTTGAACTTATACTAATGTGAGATTGCAGCTTGAATAACCAGTACTATTAGTATAGTTTCCTTTGGCAATACTGAATATTTTTTCTTTCATTACACAGTTCATACAAGTGACGAATCAGACCACGTCCAAAAGCGTGATTCTGTGGTAAGTTAAATATTCTTAGTTTATACAAGTGATGAATCAGACCACGACCAAAGGTGTAACTCTGTGGTAAGTTAAATATTCTGTGTTTATACAAGTTATGAATCAGACCAAGACCAAAGGTGTAACTCTGTGGCAAGTTAAATATTCTTAGTTTATACAAGTGATGAATCAGACCACGACCAAAGGTGTAACTCTGTGGTAAGTTAAATATTCTGTGTTTATACAAGTTATGAATCAGACCAAGACCAAAGGTGTAACTCTGTGGTAAGTTAAATATTCTGTGTTTATACAAGTTATGAATCAGACCAAGACCAAAGGTGTAACTCAGTGGTAAGTTAAATATTCTGTGTTTATACAAGTTATGAATCAGACCAAGACCAAAGGTGTAACTCAGTGGTAAGATAAATACTCTGTGTTTTTAGAAATCGTGAATCACGGCATGTCCAAAAGCGTGAGTCTGTGGTACGTTAAATATTCTGTTCTTATAGTAATGAATGCTTAGTTCATGACGACTAAAAAAATCTCACAGATGATTTTACTAATAAGTTTCCTTTTTGATATATTTTCCAAAATTTTTATCATAGTTCAAATCTATTTTTATCAAACCTTCTGGCATTTATAGCATAAAACTAAAATTATAATACCCAAGGTAAACAAATCCCGCGAGTGTCCTGTAAACTCATGTAACCAGAAAGGTCAATAATTCTATTAGAGTGAAGATAATGTTGAAAGCATGAGTTATTCATACAGTAGGCCTTTAATAACTTGATTTTCTTAGAAGTCTTAGCTTTCTTTTTATTATGTGTTGCTTATTCCTAGTACATTCTACCTCTGTTCATAAATGTAACTGTGAATTATAGTTTTGATATACGAGAGGAATGAGAAGAATGGATCTAGTTTAAGTACCTTATCGATTGAGTGATAAACTTCGACTCTGGACTTTAAAATAATGAAAGATGTAAAATCATTAATTTCACCGAGGAATATAGTAAACACACCAAATTTATATTAAGAAACCTTTACACTTGAAAATTTAATCAACACAATTAAATTTAATGCAAAAAAACACCTCGCGGTACAAATGAGATTTTTGCACATGCGAAGTGTCTGCAATATGGTGAAAGAATTCATAGTGAAAGGATTGGAATCACGTGCATTTCTTTCAAAATTAGTTAATAACAGCTCAACAACTACAACAAATAGTAGGGTGAAAAATAAACTGCGAAAATATCTGCTGATATAGTGTTTAATTATAATTTTACGTTACTTGACTTTACTACGAAAAGTATACTTTTGGCACAATTATATTGCAAAAAAGTTGCCTTTATTTTCGTGAAAATATCGTTATTGACCTTTATTTACAGGACTTTTACACCAAGATCTGTTTTACAGTGAAAACATAAAATGATGTAAAATATATCACATTCTAACCTAAAATCTCTATTACAATCACACCCCGAAGAATCATCCGCTTTTTGAGATCCACACATCAACGACACGCAAAGCTTTTTATTTTTTTTTCTTTAGACAGATACAACAGTGGAAGGGATAGTTCAACAGTTAATAGAGAAACACCAGTTTCAAACAGCATTACACAGCCAACAGAGAGGTAGCCGAGAAAGGAACCTTTCCTTCAAGTTAGCCATATGTTCAGTTTCGGGAAGAGAAAAACGGTCAATCCAAAGTAGTCAGGCCGTTAACTCTCGACCAACTTCAAGTAAAGTAAGTAATGAACGTTTAACGCCTAAGTTGGAAACTCAAGATGATGTGCCAGTATTTCAGCCAAAGGTCCAGAAGATGGGCACGGATAACCCCAAAAGTGTACGACCTAACAGTCTTAAAATCATTAACTCCTCATGCCGGTCTTCTCATGAAAAGTCCCCTAAGGCGACATCAAAACATTCGAACTTCCTTAACACTTCTCCGACATCTGTTATTCTTAGTCTTTCACAGATACAAGGCGGTGGAGGCCTTTTGATTTTAAATAATACTGCAGCTGTTACAGGCCTAGGACTTACTCCTACTTTAAATGTCACAACACCAATAACCGGAATTGAACTTACCCCTACCGTTAACACAACAACTACTATTACAGCATTAGGACTTACTTCTGCTTTAAATACCACGACTACTGTCACAGCGTTGGGACTTACTCCGTCTCTTAACACAAAAACTGTAGTTACAGGTTTGGAGTTTACTTCCACACAAAACACTACAACAGGTGCTATAGGATTAGGGCTCACGTCCACCCAAAAAACGACAATGGTTGCTCCTGATTTGAGGCTTTCACCCGCTCAAAACACCGCATCAGTTCGTTCAAAATTGGGATTTATTCCCGCTCAAAGTACAATAACAACAGAAACAGGTGGTAAGCTTACTCAAGCTCATAACGCTTCTGTCAGTGGATTAGGAGTTTCATCCAGTCTACGAACAGCAAAGCCCCTTGCAAAGTTTGGAAATATCACTAATATAACTGTTCCAAAGGTAACTATTAAACCGGGACTAAATAACAGAACGACATTTTTAGGATTACCAATGGTCACAAAACGTTCATTAGATGATAGTCGAACCACTAAGCAGCATAAAAGTAATATTTCTCCTCCAGCATCTTTTGATAATCATCTCAGTGGAAGAGAGCCCTTTCTTAATATTGTTTCACCTAAACTTACAACGAATGTTATTGGTCTTGATTCCAAAGACTTTCTCAATTCCATTACCTTCTTAACATCAACATCTGAGGCTCAGCCAACTGGAACTGTTCACCACAGGGGTGATCAAACAACTCAGACTGACAAAGTGACCAGTGGCCAACGTAGTTCCCAAAATAAACAACAATGCGATTTATTGTCTGCCCAAGGACCTACGGCTGAAACATTCTCCAAAAGTACCCAAGCAAATAGCAATGATAAAAACTTTGAAGTAACTCCTATGGAGGTTACAGATGATGTTGAGCATTCCATTAGCACCATGGATGATGTTTTCCAGTACAATTCACTCAGTATGTTAAGTGACTTCAGTAGTCTGGAAAACCCTCACTCCAAGCACTCAGAACGAAGTGGGTCCTGCATCATCACCAGCTCCTCCTCCTCATCTCCATCCCTGAATTGTTCTTCGCACGTGGACTTAACACAATATAGCCATGATCACATGGTCCTCATCAATGATTACTCTCCAGATTGGTCGTATACAGAGGTAAGAGTAATCCTTGTTTTCTTACTTGGCATTTTTACTTGAAACGTATTTTTCAGTGTATGCAACATTTTTAGAAAACTTTATGTGGATCTAATACGGTCTGTTAACATCAGTTAAAACACCTTACAAAGTCCCGAAGAAGGTTTTTTGCATCTTAATATTATTTTTTTACATGACAGTGTCTCTAGCAGACAAGACATATTTTATTAAGGTATTGTAAATAGTTTCTCAGATGGGTGTGAAATTGTTTTACAAATCAACATGACATATTCAGTCAGAAAAACAATGCATTTCTGAGTATTGTTAAGCAGTACACAAGGTTACCGAGTATTTACTTCAAGACACGTTGAAGACTAGAAATGAAATTTAATTCAGGAAAAATTGAGCTTTTCATAATCTTCTTTCCATTCAGAATGGAAAAAATCTGTAAAAAATATTCAGAGCAGACCACTAAAGTTGTTAATGGATAGTTTTACATACTAGTTTTCTGTATTTGCATGAGGTTTTTGTCATACTTGAATTCCGTGGTACAACCTATATAAGGAATGTGGATGGACACTTGTAACGTTATAGGATGAGATAAAAGCACTGAAATAACCAGAGAACGATAAATTGGACCTTTTAGACGCATAAGATACTATTTTCATTCGACTCAGTAAGGGCTTGTACATGTGAATGTGAAAAAAACTAAAATAAAAAACTGAGAAAACATTAATTACAAAGGAAAATATCATTCTAAATACTTTCAAACGAGATGTATTAACTTTTGTTTTATGCTTTTTTAATGTTATGTAATACAAGAAAATGTTTCTAAGAAGTGAAGTGACAGACTTCTAAAACCAGTATATTTATATATATATAAATTTTTATTCTGCATTTCATATTACTAGTGAGAGCACATAGTAATTATTGAATATTTATGTTGTTTTGAAAGACTCTAGGTTGGGCATTTTTATTACAATAAGTCTTTTAATAACTCTCAGGAGTAGACTAATAATTGAAGTCTTAAGCTACTCAAATCACAGTTATCAAGCATCAGTATTTTTAACATGATATGTTTCTAATGACAATAAGATGATCTTACAGGGCTCTTACCTGACATCAATTGTTGTTTTCAGGTATGAACAATTCACTACAGTTCATATTTTCTGTTGCTTTAATATTCCTCTCTGTAAGACAAATTGCAAAACCCGTTTTCTAGCTTTGTAAGTCCGCAGGCATAGCGCTGTGCCAGTGGGGCTTCAAATGTTCACTTTGTGTCTTTATAAAAACACATTAAATTGATTTTTAATAATTAAGAAGATGATGAGTTAATTTTTTTAATTTGTTTTCGTATAATGATGTATTGTATTTCATCTCATTATTAAAAATTGATGGTATTGTTGTCTATTATTAAAATTGTTATTATTTCCTTTTCTTCTTCAGAGCTTAAAGAACAAATTGGTTTGAAATACACATGATGATAAGGAACAGGAAATACAATTACCCCCCCCCCCAACGTAATTTTATTCTTTATTCCACGGTATCACTTTGATGAAGTGTTATGTAAGAGACTCACCACCTCTTTGCAGTTTATATCATCACATTAGGTCATGCTCTTACTGACGACCACGCATGTTGACAATAGCTCTGCAGCGTAGTTTCCATTGAAAAAGGCTTAATCATAAGATCGTCATGTCGAAATTAGACACCTACTTCCTGCTGCTTTCCATAATCTATCTAGTTTAAGAGATCTGTAGTTCTCCGCACCCGTTTCAACAGTCTGCATGTAAAACCATAGGCACACTATCTGGGAAGTTGAACAGTATGATTTTCTATTAAATTGCATGAATATAGGTTTCACTCTTCAACTGCTTGAAATACGTGGCGGTTCAATGAATATATCGTGGAAGCAACTTGTGTATACATGACTTGTGTCACTTTTACAGATGAAAATCTTTCTTGATTAATTTGCATACTTTTGCATTGGACACGCGGATGACTATTGCCACTGACTTTTTGTTTGTGAATTCTCACCTGTTACAAAACGCAACACATTGCTTATATCTGAATGATCCTGGACCCAAAGTTGATCCTTATTTCTTTTTTCCACTAGGTGCAAGGCATATTCCTGTCTTGGAAATTCTAAATCTCCAATCTGAATACATTTTGGTTAGATAAGTTTATGAATATTTTACATCGAATAGCACTGTTACATACCCTTCGCAAAAGTGTTCAATCTTTGGTGGTATCACATTAGTTATCAGCAGCTAAACATTACCAAAATGTGATTCTGATATATACCATTCCATCATGACTTTATATTGGTTGTGGTTGTCATAATGTTTAATTATTTGCATATTCCAAATCGTTTCATTACCTACTCAACCGTTTGTACAAATCACATCAGACTGATAAATTTGTTATTGAGCAATAATAGAAAAATGCGATTTTACTCTCGGCATTCCACTGTACTGACTTTGTTTGACTTTCAGATAATAAATTGCTTGAGCTTTAGTGAATACTCCAATCATGGTGTTCGCTATCTTTGCTGCTTTCAACAAATTTCCTATTTCAGGCTTTTCATCTTCAATCCATTGGCTAATGACATTGCGCCAATTGAGTCTCTGCCTATTTCTCATTCTTTTTCCTTCGATACTATCCACCAGAATGACAGCCTTCAAAAGAGATGATTATATGCCTAAAGTAGCACATCTTTCATTTCCGATATCTGTCCAGCAGCTGTTTTTTGTTTTTGTTTTCACACGTCTAATACTTCCTCTTTAATTTTTCTTCTGTAGCTGATCTTCGTCAATCTTCTGAAACAACACATTCCAAATTCTTCCAACTGTAGTAACATTCTAGTAGTTTCTTCTTTAATTTTAGTTTGACATCTCTCTGAGCAGTTATTTGAGATTGACGAATGGTATTTTGTTATTCTTATGCTTTGCTTTATCTTTTTTCCACAGTTGTCATCACTAATCATATTCGTTCCCAAATAAGTAATTCCTCTACAGTTCTAATTATTTACCATTTGCCCTTCTGCATAACCTTGGAGTTTCCTCAGATCGTGAAATTACTATTCCCTTAGTTTTGTTGATATATATTTTAGTCCAAAATGTTACTATTTACCAAGCAGGCTGTCAAGTAACTGTTGTATTTCTTTCTCAAATTCACCCATAAATGCTGTATATTTAGTATATGCCTGAAGGGATGATGCAAATGCCATCTTTACTATCTTGTTTGCATGTTTTTTGAAGAATTGATATTAGCCATTCCTCCGTTCACTTCCTTTTTTAAAAAGTTTTTTCTTTACTTGTAGACACAGGTTTCTTGGAAATGGGTTTTGAATTTCGCGAGGGCTATCTGCACTAGCCGTCCCTAATTTAGCAGTGAAAGACAGCTACTCATCACCTCTCACCGCCAACTCTTGGGCTATTCTTTTATCAAAGAATAGTTGGATTGACCATCACATTATAATGCCCCTACGGCTGAAGGGGCGAGCATATTTGGTGGTACAAGGATTCGAACCCGCAACCCGCAGAGTGCAAGTCGAACGCCCTAACCACCTGGTCATGCCAAGTACAAAAGCAGGCCTTTTAAAGTGAAGTATTATTGCAGTCCGATATTCAGTCCTTAAAATTTTCATTTCTTCTTAAAATTCTACTGGAATGTCGTCTACGCCAAAGATTTTCAGTTTTTTTAACCTTTTAATGGCTTCTTGCTCCTCCCTATCCAGAATTGTGGACCGCTATTAATTGGTTCTACCACTTCTAGTGCCGGTTCCTCTTTCTTGTCATTATTATACAATTCCCTCGCAGACTTTATCTGCCTCTTTTTAGCATCCTCAATTTCAAGTATTATCTGGTCGTCCTTACTTTTTTTTTGGCTACACTGGAAGACAGGATAGCTTTTACGTTCAACTCTTTCATTCTTCTGGGTATTTCACATATGTTATGCGTTGCCTTGCATTCCTAAATGTGTGCATATTTCTTTTTCAAATACCCATCCTTCTCTTGCCTACACAAACATCTTATTTCCTTATATACTTTCCTATATTTCTGTACCCTCTTTGTTCAACTGCTTCAGTTTGTCTTATTTGTACGATAGTTGAGCTGTGATAAAAACTACAATTAACTATTGGATAAGTTCTAACTGTTTCAGCAGAATTTCTTAAAGTTCTTTACCTAGAATGTTATCCTTCCGATCTCACATCATTTTGTGACATCTTTTGATGACACCCAAGTGATGCTTAAACACAATGTTATTTATCATTAAGCCTTTTTTTGTTCACAAAATTATGTTAATTAATCTATTTCTTCTATCTCATTCTGTTTTCCAAGGCCATGTGGTCCAATTATTACAGAATTTCTATCTTCACGTACCTTCATACATTACCATAATATATGTTTTTCTTATTTCACTGTCAGCATAACTTTCTGAATATCTTGAAAAACTTTAGATTTTCACTTCTTTGCTACTAAATATAGGTACATAAAGTTAAATAATGGGATCTTTCTCAAAACCTAACATTACCTTGTTTAAAACAGGTGAGGAGCCTTTCACACAGTTGTTTAATTATTTTCTCACTACCCTTTCTCCTCTGTGAACCAGTCCCCGTTATCTCACTTAACCATATGATATCATACTTCAATCGTTTTAGATCTTTACATAAATTGCTCAAACTTCCAGTTCTATATGGGGTCCTTACGTTCCACATTTTGATCTTAATCATGATACCAGATTCCACACTGCTGCTTTTAAGGATCCCAATATCAGAACTGAGGGGTCCCACAGGAGTGGACTTTGATTGCAGCCCATCACCACAGAACCCACTACTTACAGGCACACCAGAACCCTCCGTGCTTGTAAAATTCTCGACAGGCTGCTCAAGAGTCTCACGATCTGCAATGGATATCTTTATTCGAATTTCCTAAAGCAAACTGGGCTAAGTGGTGTAAAAGAAGATCTAGCCTCTTTCTGCACCCGATGGGTTTTAGCGTCGTTAGTCAAATTAATGTAGAGATGTAGTTACTTGGATAGTTTTAGGCAACCAATGCAATGCCAAAGAACCCTAACAACAGAAACCTCCCTCCCGCTATTATTATGCATTACAAAACGTGACTTTACTATCACTATTTCATCGTATCACATTTGCCCTAAACTCATGTAATAAGTTGCATAAGCCTATGATGAAGGTATTAATAATTATTGTACAATAAATAGTATGGAATAATTGTTGTGTTTTTGTTGTTCTTGATTTGTTTTCGGTTTTTCAAGTTACTTCCATATTTTTAAAATTCCGTATTTATTTAACATGTTCTATTATGGAATAAAATTATTCATTAGTGAGAATGACGTCGAATAGAGCCTGTTCATGAGCTGTCTTTTTACATTAACTCAATACTGTAATCAGGGTGGAATCAAGGTTCTCATATCGGGTCCATGGGATTCTTCGAGTACTCTCTACACTGTTTTGTTCGATGGCGTTAGCGTGCCAACCACTCTCGTTCAGAATGGAGTTCTCCGATGCTTCTGTCCAGGTAGATAGCATTTTTTTTTTCTCTGGTTTGGTTAAATTTGTACATGTCACAAAGTACATGACATACATGATGGAAACTGAACTCAAGCTTAAGAATCGAAAATATGGAACTATTCTTCATCAGAAACTTAGAACTGCATTTTTATAAACTACAAGTTTTTTTTAATGTAATCTTATGGAACGTTTCCTGAATATATCACTGCATTGTATTATTCAGTAAAATTGAAACAAAAATCTTACCAGTTCTCATATTTCATTAATGGAGCAAGAACCTTTTCACGCACACACGGTACCATTTAAGTCTGACAAAAATTTAACCACCGAAATGTCAAAAACGGAGTATACATATGCTAATTTCTTTATACCTTAGTTTCAAAATTTTAAAACAGATAAACTCTCTCGAGTTATTTCCAAAACTAGCAAATAGACACACACCCAAGTCACTTTAAAAGCTAACTTTCAATATAACTCTTTGCAGAGGACAGAAAGGTTAAAGTGACATCCATCATTAACCAATCCTCACTTAAATCTATGCTTTTACATATTACTGTCAAACGTTATGACACCTGACCACTTTATTTCACAATAAATATAAATATTCAAGAGACTAGAATATATGTCTCTCATATATTCACAAACACATATCATTAACTACTCTTGCATTTTGTTTATTTGAATGATGCTAAGCACAAACTACACAATGGGCTACTTGTGCTCTGCCCACCGCAGGTATTGAAATCCAATTTTTAGCATTTTAAGCACTCAAACTTACCGCTGAGTCACCGGTGGGGGAGGAGGGACGACTGCATTTAACCAATTTACTACGGCTGGGACGTATATTTCCACGTGCTCCCACTCCACTCATACTGCGATTGAGACAAATTTTTCCCATTGTTGACGCTGTTTACGTCTTCCTCTGCTGGGTCGAGGTTCATCATCTTAACTATCATCACTAGATAGAGTTAGCATCCCCTTGTTTCATTGTCTCTTCATCATCACACATTTTAACACCACTTGACTCATTTTCACTATCTAAGTCAAACGCATTAATCATAGTTACATAGTAATAAGGGTTACTACTCTGCACTCTAGCGACGCAGGCACTGTCGGCATTTTCCGCTTAGGCATCTTGTTGGTTACCGAAGGGCTCATTGGAAAACATTGAGGGAAACCATATATCAATATTAGGTGGGATGCCAATAAATATTTTCCAACTCATTTTACTCCCATACGCCAGGCGCGGCAATTTTGAATGACAAATGGTCCAGTCGCTGGTCCACACGAGAACACACAAGAACAACAACTGAGACAAAAAGAAGCAATGGCGCATTTAAACCACGCACTATAACCATACATATTCCAGGCACTAAACCAAACCATAAATCTTTTGCTATAAAAGATTTAAATCCCAGCATTACAAATGAAAACAAAGAGGCAGAAGCTACATACAAACACATACAATATACCAAGGTATAACGCATATTCTCAAACAGAACACAGAAACTTACCAATTTAGTTAAAATATACGTATATGAAACACAAGATGTCCAGAGCGTGATATAAAATAGTATCATTCTCTGGTATCAAAAATACATAGTAGAACCCACCAAAACACTAGCAGTAGTTCTAACCCAGTGTTACAACTGCCAACGTTACGGACATGTAGCAGCCGCATGTAATGTTCTCCCACGCTGTTTCGGGTGTGGGATAGAACACAGAAACACAGGCTGTCCTCGAAAAAAAAAAAACACGATTTATTGAACTGCCAACAGCAACACACGGCAAACTACAAAGGATGCCAAAAATACAAGAACATCAAAAAACGTATAACAAACATACTAAGTAACACAAATGCAGAAGTACAAAATCAGGACACAAACAGAACACAAAGAAGAACACCTTTGTTGTCAACATCCAAACCTCAAGGGACCACCAACATAAATCAACAATATACTGAACATACATTTGCACAGGCAGCAAACATACACACCCAAACTCAAGACACACCTAAACAAACGAAGAACACACAACACACAAATATTCAAACACAACAAAATGAAACAATAAGAAAAATAACAGAAGCAGCCAAAAATATATTTTATGAATTCCTAGCACAAAACAGAAACGCCCAAAACTACGATGACAGCATGACACTAATCGTTAAAATAGCTATAGAACACCTGACACCATTACTACCACGGATCATGCAATTACTTGTACTTCGACAAACATTACAGAATTCAACTACACAGCTAACATAATTTCACAAAGATACATAACCTGACAATATAAAATGGACATAGCCCTGAAAAGGAAAGTAGTAACAGAAACTGAAAGACATCCAAACCAGTTTACCAAACCCCAAGTATAGAACACCAAATAACAACAGTTCGGGAGGGAGGAAAGGTCTCCTTTGTACCTGACTCTCCCAGGTACGTCAAGACCTAAATCCCGATAATTGATTGATTGGTCCAAAACATGGACCGAATCCCGATGAAGAAGAAGAGAACCAGTCGCAGTGTGAGGGGGTGGGGGATATATACGTCCCAGCCAAATATACGTCCCAGCCGCAGTGAAAGGGTTAAGGCTAGAAAGAAATTATGTTAAGAATAAATAACTCCAAATTATCCACCTGTAGTAAAAGTGTATTGTGGTGTTATCTTCTACTCTGATTATGATATAGATTTTGTTACTGATTATAAGGTTACTATATTTATATTATGATTTTAAATACATTGTTTTTCCTTAGCTCATGATGCAGCAGTGGTGAGCCTCCAGGTAGCGTGTGAAGGCCGTGTCATCTCCAACTCTGTGTCTTTCGAGTATCAGAAGAAGATTGTTGGTACCATAACCTCAAGCACTTGTCACATGGACGGTAAGTAATGTCCTAATGCAGGTCATAAATAGTTGTTGTTGTTTGTTGAATTGTTGTTTCTGTGGTAGCTGTTTCTAGTTTTGAAGCGATAGACTAGAAATAAAACAGTTGGTCAACACCACCCACAACCGGCCCCAAAGAGCGGAGCGTTTTTTTTTTTTTTTTTTTTCGTAACAGGACGTGAACCACAACCCTTCCGATCCACAATCTGGTGCACTAACCATTGGTGCTGCATTCAGCTCATGATAAAAGTGTAAGGACTCAGGCCTAGTACCAGCAAGTTTACTTTCCTAGGCACGTTTTCAGCATTGAAGGACTATAAATTAAATCTATTTGTTATAAGTATAATGAAATATTACAGTAACAGTTCGAGATATTACAATTATATAATTTTTTACTTTCTTGGTTTTATTGAGACAGAATTAAACACCATTTTCTTTGAGTATAGTTTTTAGTTTTGCCAGTCCAGTTATTCTTGTGTGTGTCATGGTTGATATCACGTTTTAATACATTTTGAAAAGCACATATCTTAACTAGCAACGGTGATGGGCAAGGTCAATAGAATGCCTAGTCCGACAAAGCAGTGCAATACAGGAAACTAAAGAATACACTTCGCCCCAGCAGTTATTAAAAATATCTTTTCCACTGATTCAATAGTTGTTTTAATAATTTTATTAATGAAATTTACCCTGAAATTTTGCTGTGTATCAAAGACAGGTTAGGTTCATCACAACTTTCGTCTTCTTTGTGCGTGAGAGAATCTGCTGTTCTTTCGGAAATTTTACAGCAATTCCCATTCCTTTTACTACTACTCCTCGCATCCACTAATGTTTTTTTTTTCAGGGAAAATATATTTTTTAGTTGTTCTCATAAGCATTCCATAACATACTACAAAATGAAACTTAACATCTTGGCGGCTATTGATTTCACTTTAGAATGTGACTTTTTCTACCAGCTCTTCTAAGAACGTTGTCTTTTGTAATAGAAACAGAGTATTATAAAGCTCTCATCTACTAGTGGCTTTAAGGTTTTTATTAACTGTAATCATATTGCAGCAATACTTTCCAAAATTTGATTGAAGAAGCAGGTGTATAATGCTTTATGTGAAGTGAAAAAATATCAAGGCCTCAGTGCAACAATTGACTGAATCACTCAACAAAAAATTCAAAGTGTGTGTTGCATTGCATGGTACAAAAATCTATTTAATTTATTATTCTAATTCTTTTGTAAAGACCTTCGTACTAGTTGTTTGTCTTAGCTCCACTGTCATATCATTGACTTCCAGAAGAACAATTTTGATCATATCAGCACTACTTGTGGCATAATTAAAAGAAATACTAGTTGATTCTGAACTTGCCATCTTCAGTTGCAGATGCCACATTAGCTTTGACAAACATAACGATCATTGCATCTGTTTTGTGTGATTTATGCTTTGGGTACATTCAACTAAAACTTTGCATTTCTATCAGCAGTCAAAATGAGTCTAGATTTTGTTAAAAGCAATTGAATCAGTTCATTCTAGAGGTATTTTATCAGAAAGTATTTGTGGAGTCGTTGCATGTTAATTCTTTTTTTTTTTGGCTAATATTTCGTAAAGAACAAACATGGCGAGATATTAAACATATTTCAGGAAATTCCCATTTCTAAGTGTTAAGAGCTTCTCATGATTTCCACGAAGAGCAATATTTTGAGTCTCATGAAATCTCATCAAGGCAGTTAAATTTGTTAAGTAGAAATTTCTAATGATATGTCTATTGTTTATTCAAGTGTAGCTTTTCTATACTGATTATTTGATTAATTTTTCATTAAGATTCTAATCCATTCGTTAGTAGAAATGCTTACCGATGATCTGCTGACTTTCTAGTCAACTTGAATGCACTTACAGATTTTTCTAGTTCTGTGTTCTATTTGAAAACAGTGAAAAATTGGTTATGCTAAAGATCTTGCAGCAATAAACGAAACAAGGGATCACGTGTGACTAAATATTGAACCCATTATCATGGCAAACTCTTCTTTAACGACAAATCTTCGTATGTAATAACATCAACTTCTGAATTTCATTTCTTTATTGCATTTGGGAAATGTATATGCCCGTAGCTGTACTGGATTGATTTTAACCAACAGTTATCGCATCTTTGATTTGATTTCTGATCAGTTAACTAAATTATTCAACTCAAAAACACATATTCTAATATTCCTTTTTAAAACTGTCTTTGCCATCAAAAACCTCAGTTTCTTGAATTTATGAGACAGCTTAGCACGGAGTTGCAACACTAAGCTTTATTACTGGTTTGGACAGCAGTAGTTTCTTGACATATCCTAATGGCGGTCTCTTCATTCTTTCTGAATGAGGCGCGTTACAAAAACTCAAGAAAAAGAGTGCCTTTTATTTTTCTAAATGTGTCTCCTTTTCTACTTTCTTTTCCGATATGGAGCACCAAAAAGATTGTACCTTCTATTAACCTTGAGTTATAAGTTATCACTGTCTTGTCACTTTTTTAGTTATTTACAAACTTAAGGGTTTCTCAGAACAGCTGCAAATGGTTTTATCGAGATCTAATGTATTGTTACGTCTCCGCGTGTTGATTAATTTTCCGTAACTTCGTTTCAACGAAACTTTAACGACACAAGTCTTTACTTAAT